TGTATTGTGGAATGTCAAGATTGGGGGCAGTATCGGCCCCCATTTGGGGGCTAATCGGTTTCAATGCCGAGGGAAGAGAGGCCGTGTCCCGGACGGATAAATGCTCGCACGGTTATGGCACCAGCGGGCATGCCCCGTTTTCGCGGAGCAATACTTGAGAGCGGGGTATGGTGGTCAGCACTGTACAGATTGGTTTTCTCTTGAACTCAGCTACCTCCCTCATTTCTTTGGGTCACTAACAAATCACCGTGGAAAACCATGCACTGGTGGGTTCCGCACTCGAGCCCAGTGTGACCTGTCAAGGTTTAACTCAGAGTAAATGGCGCCCACCACCCTCTCTCAATGAGACCCCTCCGATGCATGACACCATGCCCCAGGAGCAGTTACCACAGCAGTGCTCTGCCGTTTTCCGCCATCCCGTCGCACCAAACCCCACTGGGATCCGTACTCGCCGCGGTTTGGGCGCGTGGGTGGAGATCAGCCTGCGGCATTGTTCGGCGCTGCTTCCCACCTCTCCGAAGGCCCCTGTTTTCAGAAGAGATATGATGCCATAACAGCTCTTCACCAGACGCCTCGCTCCCGTGCCGCGTCGGCACTCCTCAATGGAACGCCCCCTCCCAGCCCAACAACCCCTCCCACCCCTTCCCACCCCCCTTCCCTCCCCCCGTCGGAGGTGACGGATCCGCCGACGGGATCCGATTCAAACGGACTTGTAAAGTCCGGGTAGCTATACCTCCCTCGGGCACCCAGCCCCCGCCCCGGCCCCTGCCCAAAAGGTGATGCGGTAGCAGTCCGCCCAAGACCGACGCCGCCGAGGGCAGGCGCCGTGGTCGCCACGGAGTAGGCGTGGGCATGGCCAAGAGCTTGGCCATGCCCCTGGCCGTGGCCCGTGAAATGGCTGACGCTCTGGCTGTGCGCCGAGCCCGGGCGGCTGCCGCCACCACCACCACCGTAGGTCTGGCTCTTGGCGTCGTCCCAGGCCTTTGGGAGGTCGTCGGGGAGGGCGAGGGCGTAGGGGTGGGGCTGCGGGGGTTTGGTGTCGGGGGTGGCGAGCTCTGGGTGGGAGGGTGGGAGGACTTCGGGGGTGGGGTTGCGCAGCGTTTCTTCGAAGGGGCGCGGGGCCAGCTCGATGTCGTGCCCTTGAATGAGGGGGTCGTTGCGGATGGGGAAGGGCACGGGGATGCGGGAGCGCGGGTTGGGTTGTAGGTCGGGGTGGATGGGGCTGTCCATTTTGTATGTATATATGTGTGTATTTGGGTGTGTGTGTGTGTTGTCGTGGTTGAGGGCGGCGAGCCCGGAAGGCGAGACCGGGGGTGAGTGGTGGTGGTGTTGCTATCCGGATTATAGTAGGTGTTGTGAGAGGGACATGCTTGTTTGTCTTGCTTTGGTGAGGTCCCGTAGGTTCAGCGAGCGAGGGGGGTATGAAAAGGGGAATAGAATTCGACGCGGCGGTAGCGGGGATACAAGAATAAATTCAATGTCAGGTCAGCGAGCGTGAGATCGGGTCGGGCGGGCACCAAGCTTTCCAGACTGCACGACGCGAACGTGGTCCTGGGAACAGTGCATGCATATAGTTACAACCGGGGAACCCCCCCCTCGTCCGGGGTCCACAGGCGTTACTTGAAGGCCGCAGGGTCCCAGGTTCGGTAACTCAGCAGACGCGATCATCACTCAGCGACGGCTTGTTGGGGCTAGTCTCTCCTCCAGCTCCTTTCATTTTGCCGGAAACATACTGAAAATATCCCGACGCCCAAGGCAACACCTCTCGAGGCTGCCACGCCGCCGGCCCCCATGAATTGGCAGCGGCGAAGCTGACAGGGGTTGTCTCTTTTCGCGTCATCACTAATGCTCATCTTCACTAGCGTCCCGCATGCTGACGGCGTCCAGACTTCTGGATGGGCCAATCCTGGGGGGTGGAGGAGATGACGGCAGCCATTTTGAGACAAAAAAAAAAGATGAAAGATATGAGTGTTAGAAGCGGGGCTAAACACCTGAGAGCTCAGATCTCAAATCCCGTCGGATGAGGGGAAAATGGTTGACCGAGTATGGAATGCGAAATGGTAGTCGCGAACAAGAGCGTACTCCGTAGTTACCAGTCGTGGAATTCCCCTAACGAGCGGACACAGTGACGATACGAAGAAAATGGCCCGAAGTTCCTGCCAAGACACCAATTTAGGCTACCCGCGAAGAAACAAGAAGCGCATCGGACCCACTGCGATGGCCCTATGGCCCACAACTTTTGTTTCCGTCTGAACTGGGATGCAGATCATCCCATCAAGGCAGCAAGGGAACCTGGTAACCTGGATTGGCATCGCATCGACATCTCCAAAGACAAACCGAACGGATTTCAAAAAAAAAAAAAAAAAAAAAAAAAAAAAAAAAAAAAAGAAGTTGTAAAGCCGCCGCGGGTCGTTGGTCCAGAATCCAGATTTCCGTTGAGCACCCATCACAATCATTTCGATTCTTGTAGCCGTATTCGGCAGGTGCGCGGCAACGGGGACAAGTATTAATTTCTCTTCAACGGCATGCACAGCTCTACCAAACAAAACTCGGTTCCCAGAGTTATGCACTCTTTAGGTTGGTTGCACAGATGGGAATTCCGTCCCGAACACCGTTCCCCTACGGATTCATCAAGACTCGAATGCATCGAACGCATCGAATCCATCGAATGAAAACGCCGTCGGTCTCGCCGCTGCAGTTCCCGCTCCCGCCCTGTGGTGCACCCGCGGAAACACTTTCCATGTGGCACCCCTGATGTTTCGGCTGAGGGAGGCACAGCAACCCCAGCTATGATGCTGGCGGCAATACTGGCGGCGATCTCAAGACAAGATGAGATGGCACAGGAACACATGGCTTGACTAGGCTGTATGGCTGCGGGATGATGATCAAGTCGACGCTTGGATTTCCATCGCCGCCATGGTTTGCCTGTTCTCAGCCTTGTTCTCGGCGATGGCGGGGGTGGTGGCTGCGAAGGGATTCTCGTTTTCCGTCCCCTCATCGTCCGGCGCCGGCTTGGCCGAAACCTCCTCCACCGGGATACCGTGCCCAGAGTCATGCGGCGAGCTGGGCGCGTCCTTGTCGGCGAGTGTGGAAGAACCGTTGTCAAGGTCGTTGTCGTTGTTGTCGTTTACTTCCTTCGGCGGGGCCGCGTCCGAGTCGATCGCCGCAGCCGTCTTCTTTCCCAGAACACTGTCGAGCCCATCGCCCCTCTTTAAACCATCCATCGCCCTCTGTGCAGCGTCTACGTTCTCAAACACGGTCTCCCACTCTGGGTTCTTCCTCAGCCTTCTCGCGTTGCCGCTAAACCTCCCCCTCAAGCCCTTCTCTCCCTTTCTCTCCGCCCGCTTCATCACCTCCCATAGCTCCCTCATCAGCCTCCACCCGGCAACCACCTCTTCCGCCTTCTTTCTTCGCTCGTCCTCGGACAGCAGCCCCCTTTCTCTTTGTCCTTGCACAACCCTGGCTCTCCGGATATACTTGATGGGCTGTCGCCGCCGCTCGGCCTGCTTCACGACCCCCTTCAGGGTATAACCCACCGGCCCAATGATGGCAGCGATATTCTTCAGGACAAACCCGGTAAGTCCCATGCCCAGCCCCGGGACAAACCCACGCAACCCATCGTCACGGGCGCCTCGCACCGGAAGGCGGACTACGCCCGTCCATCCGTCGTATATCCCGTACCCAAACTCGCGCCGGGCGGCTCGCAGCCCGGACTTGATCCCCGTCACCCGCGTCGGCCGGCGGACCGTGTCGTCTCCGTAGAGCCGGGGCGCATTGTGGAAGCCCTGGGCAAGGCTCTGGATCAGGTCAACCGGGGTGCGCGCGAGGGCGGATGCCGATTTGACCGCCCCGCGGCCCACCTGGCGAGCTGCGTCTTCCACGGGGCCGGTGCCGGTTGTGGAAGCTGTCCGCTGCCGGCTCATGACATGCGTCGTTGTTGTTTTGATGTGGGGGACGTCTTCGTTGTGGTCGCTATGCTGAGAATCGTCGGGTTCTGAATCCCCTGGGTTTTGTTGACGCTCCTCCGAGTTTTGTTTATTATCCCCTGATTTCGTATCCTTCCCCTCCCGCTGTTCCTTCTTCTGCTTCTTCTTCTCTTTCCTTTTCTTCGCCCCCTTCCCGATCCGATACGGCACCTTTCCAACACCACCAAAGACATTCCCCACCGAAGTCATCAACGACCCAGCCGCCCCCGTCAGCGGCTCGCCAGGCCCCTCAAAGTCGTTCCACTCGTTGTGCCTCAACAAGTGCAGTTTCTTCCATGACAACAGCCCCTTTTCCACCAGCATCTCGGCCGCCACCGCACTCAACCTCAACCCCGTCCCCTTCATCCGCCAAACAGCTACTCGGTCAGGCAGAATGGAGCATCTCATCGACCGAGTCCCGTGCAATACCAGCCCCCTATGAAACGCCCGACACGCATTCTCAGCCCCGTCCCCCTCTTCGGCGATATCCTTGGCGATCCTTTCCGCCGCCTTCCTAGCGTCGTCCGTGAGACAGTACTTGATCCCCTCGGCCAGCTTATCCGCCGTCAGGTGCTTGTACGGTACGGGCTCGGGCCCCGCGCCCGCACTCGCCACCATGCTGCCCCAAAAGTGCTGGTCGCCAAAGAAGGGCACCATCATAGTCGGCTTGCCGCACTTGAGCGCGATGGCCGTGGTGCCGGCGCCGCCGTGGATCACACAGGCCCGGACGCGCGGAAACAGCCAGTCGTGCGGCGTGTTGTCGAGCATGAACACGCCGTCCGGCACGTCGAGGCTGTCGGCGCCTAGCCCGCCCCACCCCTTGGACACGAGCGCCCGCACCCCGGCCTTCTTGACGGCCTCGAAGATCATGTTGGTGAACCGGTCCGCGTCGTCCACCACGATGGACCCGAACCCGATGTACACGGGTGGTTCGTCGCCGTCCTCGAGGAATTTCGCTAGCTCTTTGGGCGGGTCGAACGAGGATGCCAGGTCCAGAAACACAAACCCCGCCACGTCCACCTCGTCGCCCCAGTCGGGCGGTTTGGGGATCAGTCCGGGGCTCCAGAGATAGGTGAAGGGCACATGCAGCCGATAGGCCGTGCCCGGCGCCCATAACGTGGACTAGACGCCCAATGTCAGTCAGATATACCTTTAGAGGGAGGGAGACTGAGCCACCTAACACCACAACAGTGAGGAACAGAGCACAGAGGAAGTCACATACCACCGGATCCAGCCCCAGCGTGCCCACGCGAAACTCATTCACCAAGTCCCCCAAACCCTGCCACACCATCATCTCAACCAACGGATACGAAATCCAATTCGTATACCCCGGATCGACATTCGACCTCTTGATACTCGCCAACGGATGCGGAAACGCCTGCGTGGGCGTATACGGAAACGTAAACATCAAATGCACGGGTATGCCCAACGCCTCGGCACAATGGATATGCGCAAAACTAGGCGGATTCGCGATAATGGCATCAGCCACGAAGGGATCCCTTTCCCCCATCATCCTCACATTGCCCACATCCACCTCCTCATCCGTGGCATTGATACACGCCCTCCAAAACCCCCGAAACATGCTCGCCATACTCGCCCGCCGCCGGCCCACATCCCCCGCGCGCACCGTCTCCAGCGTCGGGATCATGCCGGGGTTTTTCACCATGAAGGACATCAGCTCGGCCGGGTCGCCGCCGACCGAGAAGAACTCGACCCCGGGGCAGTCGTCCGCTACGAAGGTGCGGAAGGCCGGGTGCGTGGCGATGCGGACGCGGTGCCCGTGTTGCGTGTGCAGCAGGCGCGCGATTTGAAGGAAGGGCTGCGCGTCGCCGCGGGAGCCGATGACCATGATTACGATGTTGAGGCGTGGGGGGCGGGGGTGGGCGGTTGGGGGTGTGGTGGTGGTGGTGGTGGGGGGTTTTGCTGCTGCTCCTGGTGCTGGGGGTTTTGTCGTCTTTTTGCCCTCCTTGCCCTGCTTGCCCTCCTTGCCCTCCCCTTTCCCTTCCTTGCCTGCCTCCTCGGTGAGTTTGGCGAGGGGCGCCATCTTGCGTGCTGCGGTGCCCAGCGCCTTGGCCAGGTAGCCCGTGTTGCTCATGTCGCTGAGGGAGATGGCCAGGCGGCCGTCGCGCTTGGAGACCTTGCCGTGGGTGCGGTAGTGCTCGTTGCTGAAGTGGAAGCGGCGGAACCGGCTGTCTTCGTCGTCCTTTTTCTGGTGTGGCTTCCTTTGCCTTTCCTGTTTGGAGGAGCCCCGCTGGGATTCCTCCTCGCCGTCATCGTCATCCTCGTCATCGTCGGATTCGGACGACGAAGACGAAGAAGATACACTCTCTCCCTCCCGTACAGCAGTAGCCGCCCGGTCCACCCCATCAACCTCCGCCCCCCCGCGCCGCACCGCCCCCGACATACCCCTCCTCACCTGCGGCGGCCGGGGACCGTGCACATCAAGCGCGACTTCATCACTCGCATCCTGGGGCGCGATCTCCTGCTGATGACTCGGTCCCGCCTCGGTTTCCTGGGGTGGATGTGCTGGCAGCGGCGCGCTGGGCGTGGCGCCTGGGGGTTGCGTCTCTGGCGGTACATAGGACGGGTAGATGACGTTGCCGCGCTGGTCGCGGAGCACGGCGACCTGGCGGCCGTCGTCGTGGGTGATTGTTTCGACGCGGACGGGGCTGCTGCCCTCCTCCGGTAAGGAAGGGGTTAGCGCCGACATGGTGGGTGACGGTGTGTTGTGTTATTAATTATTGAGAGGGATGGTTGGTGGTGTTCGTGGTGGCGATGATGATGATGATGATGATGAGGATGAATCTTATGATGGTGTTGTGATGTTGATTTGTTGGGTTGGGCGTTGGTGATCGGCGAGTGTGACCTTCAGCTCACGCATGAGGTTAAATGTTGAGAGTGATAGAGGTGCGACAGAAAGTGCATTCGTCCAGACAGAATACAATGTATACTGAATTTCTTTTCTGCCCGCACCTGCCACTACCACATTAAACTTGTGTTTCCCCTGACGTAGTGCCGAGTCGCCGTGTTGAGCGCCAAGTGCCGTTGTTGAATTTGTGGCGGTCACCCTCAAAATCACCCTATCCCGTCTGTCCGATCCCTAAATTCAACAACAACGGGTCTGCATTAAACACGGGCCTGGGCTCTTTCTTTGGCTTGGCGTGCCTGGCGATTGGAACCCAAAGGCAACCTTGAATGGCATTGTTCTTGCTCCTCCCCGTCTTGTTGTGGCCATGTTGCAGCATGTAAGTTGCAATGACATCATCGGCCAGCGCTGAGCGACAGGGGGTGTTGCGGCCGGAACAGTCTCTCCTGACATCCTTGCTCTAGCGGCTTGGCGCCATGGGGATGAACGGTTCCATGCCAAGAATAGTGAGGGAGGTATCATGCATTCGCTCGATTTGGTCGGAAAAATGGCCGTGATAGTCAGTCTTGGCCAGATGGAAAGTGATGATTTTCAAGGCCTGCCTATGTCAAGACCATCTTGCTATTCTACCTGCCCTTTGAAACCGGCGATATGTCACATCTCTTGCGTGTCAACTCACTGCTTCTGGACTAAGACGGGACGAATTCACCTCTCCCAACCCTCCCCCTCATAAACCATCCACATACACAGAAAAAGAACCCCGTGGCTAACAGCCCCCTAAACAGACACACAGAACCCACCACCCAAACAACCACCACCCCTCCCCTCCACCCAAACCCACACCCTACTCC